AGGGCTGTTTCATCTGAAGACACACTTGGCTTTTTTGATCAGGCGTGAACGATTTGTCAATCCAAGTGATGGCAAAAAGACTCGTCCGGCCGGAAGAAGAGAGGAGCCTGGGTTTGAGAGGTACCCCAAAAACTTTGATTCGAGAAGAAACGAACCCCCTCAGCCTCGCAACGAGCTCCGAGACAGCGACAGGAGAGAAGTGAGGGGAGACCACGATGAGAGGAGGACTGTGATCATTCAGGAGAGGCCCAAGATCCCTCACGGCCGGCACCCGCGGGAATCCGGGCCCAACCCCTCCCGGCAAAGCTCTTGGAAGGGTGAAGGAGGCATGAACCCTGACAAGAGGGATGCCAGGTGAGAGATGGGACCGGGCGCTGGGCTGAGGAGGACTTTGGTTGGGCTATTCTGGCGCAGCCACATCCCACAGCTTGTGGCCAAGGACCTCCGTCACCTTTGGATCAGCCCTCTCGGAGGCAGCTCGGAGCGCCAGGTTGACTCTTCTTGTTTCCCCAGAGAAAGGACGGAAAGATCCGGCCGAGAGGTCTCTGGGCATGCCGTGAGAGGGGCCCCCGCAGGCAGACGCCGTGGCGCATCTGGCTACGGAAGCAGAGAGATGGAGCGGGGTGTTATCGAGCGGGCCAGTGGTGGACAGGTGAGCCTTGGAATGGGCTGGCGGTGAGTAGGAAACAGTGTAAACTCCTCCCAAGAATGGCACCTGGAGAACTCTTCCCTGAAGCCCCTTTTGAGCACCGTAAAGGCATCTTTTCTCCAGCCTCTCTGGCAGCGAGGGCCCCACTGAGCTCCTCTCAGCCATGTCAGACCCCTCCCCCACCCCAATGGGGCTTCGGAGGCCCCAAGTGGTGATTGGGGGGGGGGGGGGGGGGGGGCCGAGCGCTGGGGGGGTGCCCCCGCCGACACCCCCCCCCCCCCCCCCCCGCACAAAGACATGCCCTTAATGTGTGGAGGCCAAGCGTTTTCATGAGTCCGACCACCACCACCCCCTCTCTCCTCCATGGAGCAGCCCTCCCGTGCTTTCTTGTCCCCCTGCCGCAAAAGGCATGATGCCCTTGTTCTGGTCTGAGATTCACCCTCCTCCCTCCCTCCCCAGCATTATAACGAGGAGCGGCATGTGGTTGAGCGGCATGGCCGTGATGCCGGACCAAGGAAAGAGTGGCACGGCCCCAATTCACAGGGCAGCAGTTACCACCACGACACAAGGAGGATGGGAGAGCCAAACCGGAGGCGGCATGATGTCTTCTCACTCAAGGTACCTTGGATGCAGCTTCCTTTGCTTCCCCCCCCCCCCCCCGCCCCCCAGGGGAATCTTTTAGCAGTTGACACTCAAAGTGGGGGTCCCTGCGGTGGTCCACAATTATTAAATCTGTTCAGGGCGTGATGCTGATTAGAAGCACTGGCAGTCCTGTCCTTGGAAGGCTTTTTCTACAGCATGAGTTACAAATCACAGGGTCCCTGCCTGCCCCCGACCCCCAGTGGCTGCGGTTTCTTTTGTGCCATTCCTCCCACAGGGGGCGGCAGCCTGTTGCCACTCCCCGTTGGCAGTGTTTGGAAAGGCAGCAGGGCCCAGCTGTTAAGACTTCAGTTTTTCATTCTTCAAAAGCTCATAGCTGTTTCTCTTTAAAATTTATTCCAGTAATTCTTCACCCATTAACAGAGTTCTACAAATTGCCGCAGTTCCATGCAGAGGGGAAGAGGTTCTGGATTTAAGCGTGGATCTGCGGGAAGATTTTGAGACCTTCCACCTGCTTATTCCTTGGTTTCAAGATAACTTATTGGAAATCTCTTGTGAACAGAAAGCTTTGGATAAGAAGATTTGTCTTTTTTAATTTTTATTTTAAGAGTTACTTTTTCCTCCCTTTGGAGGCATTTTAAATAAGTTAGGCTGTTGGGTTTGGGGTAGTTCATAATATCTTTTGAAGAGCACTGTTCCCCAGTGAATGGGAAGCAAACACCTGCGACCTGTACAGAAACCCGGTAGTTTTAATTTACCAGCATTAGCTCTGTGAACGTCAGGCTTAAAAATTAGGTACTTACCACAAAATATATGGGTAACTGAAGCTGTACATCAACCCCCCTGCTTTTTGGTGTGTAGAAAATACAGATGGTGGTTTTAATTTCTGGGTATTATGTAACTATTTTTGCAGAACTTGTTACACTGAGTGGATCCTTATCCAAACCAATGTATCTCCTTTCCAAATAAACTTCATAATAATTACCTGCCTGGATAGGTTGATGTGTTCAGTACCCGCTCTCTGATCCTCACATGCTTTGTTAGTGTTGTTTCGCTTCCTTGATTTAATTTTGCAGTAAAAATGAAAAGATGTAATATTTTCTGGAAAATAATGTAGCTAAAGGTATAAAAGCATACTTTCAAAAACGGTACTGTCAACCCACAAAGCGTGAGATTTGCTGCTTATTAATTGCTGATCAAAATACACCCTTGGTAGTCCTTCTGTCTGGCTCCACTTGGCCAGTTTGGTTCACTTATTCTTGCCCAGGTATGGCAGGCAACTGCTTCTTTTAGTGGCTGGAGGGGCAATCTTCAGCATTCCTGGGCAGAAAAGTGAGTTTCTAGCACTAAGCTGCACCTGGAGCTAGCAAGTGGCAACTTGCCAAAAATTGCTTGGGTTGCATTGTATTTTCTTTGGCATACTTGCATGGAGATGACCACTAACGTGTTGAAAACTAGGATGAAGTTGATCTGGCCTATTGACGGGGGGTCAGCAAAATGCTCTGGCTCATTTAGGGGCCAGGTCAGTCTGAGTCTGGTGAAGGTTTGGCCAAAGCAATGACCTTTAGCAGGCAACCCGACCCCACCGCGAGAGCAGGCAGGTTAGCTTTGGCTGGTTTGCTCAAATACCACATAAATGCTAGAACTTGAATCAATTTTTATTACATGAGAAAGTCAATTAAATCTGTTAAAAATTATAAATATATATATAAAAATTAGACGAGACTAGCAACAGCTGTGAGCTCAAGACATCAAAGAATATTGAGAGTATTCAACAGAAAGCAGCTATTGGCTGATCACAGTGTAAACCCATGCAAAGTGTCCGATTTGCTAAAAGGAAGCTGGTGATTGAGCCACAATTTAATAGTCCACAAATATGGAGGACTGAACAAAACGCTGCCTGAAGCTTGAATGTGTCGCACCTAACTGAGCTAGAAGGCCGTGGCTGCCCCACCAAGCCACAAAAGCCACTCTGGGCTGAGGCTCTGCAGGGGGCGATGGAACAGAGCAACTGAGTTGGCCCAATGGCCCGGGCCTCCCAGTATCCTGTAGAATGGAGGCGGAAGAGCCAAGCTATCAAGTCATTCTAGTTCTGGAAGGAGGTGCCTGTCACAACTGGCATGATTTGGGGCTTTTCGGCAGTATCTTACAAAAGTATTTGGCAATGCTCAAGGGTTGTGCTGATGAGTTTCGTCCTGCATGCATTCCCACAGCAGACCCTCGGCTGGTTTCCCTCCCAGATCGCCCCTTGTGCATCTCCTGGGTACCTGCTACCAAAGCCCAGGTTCCCCTTGGGGGCAGGGCCCGCTGGGCTAAGCTCAAAACGTGGGCAACATATAAGGCAGGCAGGCAGGGCAGCATCACGTGGAAACAAAGCAAAAGAAAAAAGGTTCTGCAGAGAGAAAAAGGCAACTTATGTCGATAGTAACTTTGTGGGGGAGGTAGCCAGTGTGGAATCTGCTAGTAAGGCCTCAGGATCAGAAGCAACTCGACAAGCAGAGGGGACAGAAGGCTGACCTCTTTCAGGATAAACCTCAATCTAACTTCAGTGGTAAGGCTCTCAAAAAAGTTGTTAACGCACGACGGCACTCAGTCTAAAACACATGGGCAATGCGTGCATATCAAAGAAGATTTGAAATGTGTCAGACATCTGCTTAGATACCATTCCGACATGATACAAGGTAAATACAGTTCTGCATAAAACTATCACGTGTGTTAGCAATGGGCTTGGGCATTTCATATTTCAAAATAAATATGGAGCAGATGCGAACCCAAACCTCGTATGTGGAAAGAATGTCGTTAAAGTTAAATATTCTTTTCCCCTTGTCTTCTGGCTTAAGGTACTTAAAAGAGCTGTAAGGCAAGAGTTAAGAGACAGTTACTGCCTTGCAAGTTTAGACTCCATCCAAATAACTTCATTTCAGGAAAAAATATTAAGGTACAGGTCTTCAATGACATATCAACCATCTCCTTCCCTGTAGTTAGATTGTCACATTCTGTATGAATGTTGGCATGGGATTGAAATTGTATATCGACAGCAAAGTCTGGCCTTAAGTCCAGTCTTCAGAAGTACAGCAAAAATTGTCTAAAGCATTTGCAAAGTGCTATAAAGTTATTGAGAGGATGAAGGTGGCTGCCCTTCCTTCCTTCCTCGCAAAGATCAATAGGTAATTCCAGCTGGAAGCCTCTCTATTCCATGACACAGGTAGCATGTGGATTTATAGGAGGTCTTACAAAACTGGATCCCCCCCCCCACCGGTAACTGGGCAAAGACATCAGTTCTCCAAAGAGACCCCCCCCCCCCACTTAAAGGAACCAGCAAGGGCCACGGGGGTCCAGCGGATCCGTTTCTTAGGATCCGTGTCCTGAAACGATCCATCTCGCATGATACAAACAATGGACCCGCAGTTCACGTCATGTGGCAGCTTCACGTGGCTCACACTTGATGCCACTCTCAGACCAATGCAAGCACCCGCTTCCTCCAGTCTCCCCCCACTCCCTGCAGAGTCCGAGAGTTGGTTAAAAACTGGAGAGACCAGACCATGGTGATCCTCGTCCCGAGGGGATCTCACCTCCTCTTGCTTCAAGGTGTCCTGAAGCCCGATTCTTGGCCAGGTCAGCCAAGGAAGCTCAGACTGCCAGTCCAGGGTCCCCCCTGCCCAATGCCAGAACTCTGTCTGCAGTGCCTCTTGGGCCCCACATTGTATCTTCTTGCGATGATCCAGAGATGCCCCCCCCCCCCCCCGTCCAGAACCCTCAGCCAGGCTGTGTCCGCGGGGATCTTCGGGAGGCCATCGGCTGTGGGCTTCGGAGGCACAGGTGGCGGGAGGGCCTCCCGCTCGCAGGATCCCTGGTGCTTCCGGCGGATGTGCTGGGCTCCAGAGCCGCCCTTCCGCTACAAAATGGCACAGGCACTCTTCTCCTTCTCTCGCGGCTCTTTCCTCTTCCGCTCGCTGCCCCCGGGCTGCCTTCCCACTGAGGGAGGGGTGGCGTCCTGGGCTTGCTGTTCAAGGGGGAAATGCAAAGGGGGGGGGGGGGGAAAGGCTGCTTGCTTGCACCCTTGGCCGAGCTTCCATAAAGCCAAAGACCCCAAGATACAGACCAAGGGCCAGCAGCTGCAGGCCCTGCTGAGCAACGGACGCCTGGGGGCTGGAGGGGCAGGTGTGGCCAATCCCACAGACGGGGCAACTGAGGCCCCCCTGGCAGTTTTGGGACGGAAGGAAGCTTTAGCATAACTATTCCGAGATCAGAAAATAACACTTCCTCTCGTGATTTCCCCACAACTTCCATGAAAGAAAAGGGACTCTCCCAGGAGGAACACGATTACCAACGTAGTAGCAGAACAGGCCAAAACCAGGAGGGAAGGCCAGCTCGAGCCTCTTTCCAAGGAGCCTCCTCAAGCGGTGCCTGGTCAGATGCTGGGGAATCCCAGGCACCGTTTTCTGCCCCCCTTGCATGCCCAGAGCCGCCTGGCGATGTGCCAGGAACCAAACTTGGGGTTTTGCGCATGGAAAGCGGCCCCTGAGCCACAGCCCTCCCTTCTCCAATGGCACCTAGAATTACAGTTGCCCAGATGCCCCTTTACCTGGCCTTCAGCAGTGGTGGTAGTGGTGGTGGTGGCAGCGGCGGCGGCAGTGGTGGCAGCAGCTTGCTCTTGCTCCTGATAGAACTGCGAGGCCTGTCGGTCTTCTTCCTCCTGGAGCTTCTTGGCCAGCTCAAGGTCACTGACGTCCTCAGGGAGCTGCTCCCAGCTGAGGTCTTGGCTTTGCTGCTCTTGTTGCAGAGATAAGGCCATCAGGTAGTCCTAAGGGGCAAAGCCACCTGCTGCAGTTTGGCCCAAGCAGAGCCCGCCCTCCGCCACCGTGGCAGGCGCCTTCCGTCCAAACTGAAGCGCAACTCACGAGTGAGCACTACGAGGCTTTGCCCCCCCCGCCCCCCGGGGTACAAGCCCCAAATGCTGGATGAGAGAGGAGGAACCCTGGGAGCTTTCGCCCCATCCCACCCCTCCATGGACAGGAGGCACCTGAGAGAGGATCCCCGCAGGGTCTCCCAAAGGCGGAGGAGGTCCCTTCATAGGGACACACCAAAAGGATCTAAGGGGGCCCAAGAGCTACTTGGGGGAAATGGGGAGCCCTGCCCCGTTTATTAGGGGGATAGTTGTCACATGCGTCAGTCCAACGAAGTGGGTGGGAAGGAGGGAGAAATCGGCCCCTGAAGGTTAAAAAAAGGCAAAGAAGCAGCTTCCCACGGATACCTGGTCAATCTGGTCCTGCTGCCCCTGGTACACCGTTTCCGGATCCGATGGAGGCCGCAGGTGGAATTCAGAATCACAGAAGTTCCCATCCCCATCCACGTTGTGCAAACTTTCCCAAACCACCTTATCTTCTGTAAGGAAACCTTGGTCGGTCACCAGAAGGTAAAGCTGGCCCTGAGGGAAAGGGGAAATTTCCCTGTTAATGGAGACCAGCCACTGTTTGCAGATAAGCAATGCGACCCTCCCCCCCTTTGCAATTCTCCGGAAATCGTTTGGGGGGGGCGGGGGGGGGGCGGAGTCTCCTTTCTTGACAAAACTGCCGCTCCACTCTTTTACTTCACTCTGACAGCCACCGTGCGGCTGTAGCGAGCAATGCGAATAGCTTGGTGCGCATAGGACACGACTCCGCTTCCTTGGTGAATTGAGGTGTTTTCTGGGTTTGCACAATGCAGGCGATCACACACGGATCCCACGAGCCTCTACGCCAACCTCGTCTCATGCAAGCTCTCCCCCCCCCCCCCCCCCCCCCCCCCCCGCCGCCCCCCCCCCGCCGCC